AATTCAACTTGTCAAAAAAATATATTTAAACATCACCCTACAATTTGCTTAGTCATTTATAAAACGCTTATGCATTTTATAAAAAGACTGAATTTGCAATTAAACTGCGACATATTATATTCCTCTTGGTTATTTTTTAATTGTTGTAAATCATTAATAATATAAAAATCTCTAAATCCGTTACCTTACTAATGAAGAAAAGGAAAGGATCAAGACTGCACAGGGAAGGCATAGTCGACCCTAAAACTGAATCGATGAAAAATGAGCTACTTGATAATTCCGTAACTGGTCCCTTTTTATACTGGGTGTAACTTAAAGGTTGGGAATAAATTAAACGGTGGATTATTTGGTTTAAAAAATAATTTTTTCTCATATGAAGTTATGCTCTACGGGTTTTCTTTTTCAAGCTACAGGGCGCTAAAAAGTTTCAAAAAATTTAGTTTTTCTTCAATAAATTTCGAACATTATAAGATAATGGAACGAAATTTTAGCCTTAGCTTAATTTGATAATCCCCTAGTTACAGGAAAAAAATTGACTTTGTAAGTTACTCAGTGGCGCGCGTACGGATTGTACCATAAGGTTTTTCGAAAAAAATTGTGGTACGCCACTGGTAAAAACATCTTTTTAATATTTGTTTATGATCTACTTTTTATGTTAAACAAGATTACCCTCTTGCGTTTTATTTCTAGCTCTTGTAATTTTTCCGTAAATAAAACTTTTCGAAATACCATTTTATCCCACTGCTAACAGAGGAATATAAAAATAACAAAAGCATTATGAAGTACGCTTTGACTCAGCCACCGAACATGGTCAAATAGGCATTGAAAAAAGATTTTTGCACTGAAAATGAAATTAAAAAACTAAATTTTTTGAAATTTTTTAACACCCTGTAGCTTGGAAAAGAAAACCCGTAGAGCATAATTTTATATGAGAAATATTTATTTTTTAAAATAAAAAATCCACTGTTTAATTTATTCCCAACCTTTATGTTACACCCTGTATATCCAAGAAAATTGATCGTATAAATGATGGACAAACCTGCCATGAAGAGAGGTTTTGCTTGCTTTATTGAAGTTGAAGGCAGCTGTAGACCAATGTACCGTCGATAAGGGTGAGCCTCAAGACTCTGCTATAAGTTTACCAAAGTGCTATCGTGAAAAACCTGTAATCAAAGACGAATACCGTATTTATATATAAAAAAAAATCAAATATACATTTTTTCCCAGAGACGCTTCATTTTCGAAATACAGGGCGTTAAAGATATTTTTAAAAATTCCAATTTTTTAAATAATTTCTAAATGAAGAAGGCAATTTAAGCCAAATTTGGCATGACACATCTTCTTATAAGATACCATTTTTCCATAGAAGTAGAAGTTCCGCAAGCAACCAGTGGCGGAGTTATGGGACTCAGACTCAATAAATTATAAAAAAATAATAATACGGCCCTACTGAATATAAAAAATTATGCTGTTTTTAGATAGAACAGTTTGTTATTGAAAAAAAGTGTACATTCACTTTTTTCCTAACTCCTATAGTTTCATGGCAAAATTGATTTTTCGGAAGGGTGCTTCTGGATTCTGTCGATAAACTTTAGGAAGACGTTCCTCATAAAACCTAAAAAAATATAGTACCTATTAAAATTGGTTTAGTCTCGTGTATGTGTGAGTCAAATAACCCTTTTTGTCTCCCCTTCCCTTGGGTTTAACCAATAGTATTAAAATTATTTAGGAGATGCTTCGTGTTTCAGATATAGGGTGTTTTTTTAGAAAAAAAAAATATGATAAAAACAATAGAAATAGTTAAGTACCTAACATCTAATGTGACTATGTCGTAATGCGACAACGTAACGACCCTTGCAATTTTTTTCAGGCGGTTTATAGTCACTTCATTTACTTGTGTTGTGTACTTTTAAATAAAATAAGATGGCAAACAATACATGAAAATTTATTTGTAAATTGAAACAACCAAAAAAATATCAATTAATATTATACCTAGACAAAGCGAAAAGTGAATCAAAAATGAAATAATTTAAAAAACATTTTGTTTAAAATGGGCGCCTCCGGACTGTAGACAAGCACGACATCTTCTAATTATGGAGGTAGTGGCCGATCGACACTGAATTGGAGTTAATTCTCGACACGCTTGGGCTATTCGCTGTCTTAGATCTTCTAGGGTATCAACTGGCACCTCGTAGACTTTTTGTTTAACAGCACCCCAAACGAAATAATCCATCGGTGTCAAGTCCGGTGAACGTGCGGGCCACGCTGCAGGTCCTCCAAGACCAATCCATCTCTTGGGATAATTAATATTTAGTCAAATCAATCTCTAGGACCCCTACTAAAATGGGCAGGACAATCATCTAGTTGAAACCAACTGTTCATTCGAGTATTAAGCGGAATATCTTCTAACAGATCTTCAAAACCATTTTCAAGCAACTCGGTAAACATGTCAGCATTTAACCGATGCGGAAGGAAGTAGGGACCTACTAGTGTTGTCCAACTCACCCAACCATACGTTACATTGGAATTCATGCTGAAAACTATGTTCCCTTACCGCCCGTGGATTCTCATAGGACCAAATATGGTTGTTCCTTTGGTTTAAAATCCCCCTTCGAGTAAATGTTGCCTATATTTTTATTATATTTTTTTATGTTTTATGAGGAATGTTTTCCTAAAGTTTATCGACAGAATCCAGCAGCACCCTTCCGAAAAATAAATTTTGCCATGAAACTATAAGAGTTAGGAAAAAAGTGAATGTACACTTTTTGTCAATAACAAACTATTCTATCTATAAACACCATAATTTTTTATTTTCAGTAGGGCCGTACTAATTTTTTTATAATTTAATGAGTCTGAGTCCCCATAACTCCGCCACTGGTTGCTTGCGGGACTTCTACTTCTATGGAAAAATGGTATCTTATAAGAAGATGTGTCATGCCAAATTTGGTTTAAATAGAAGTTATTTAAAAAATTTGAATTTTTTTAAAAATCTTTAACGCCCTATATTTCGAAAATGAAGCGTCTCTGGAAAAAAAATTATACCTGATTTTTTTCTTATTTTTTTTATGAGGAATATCTCCTTAAAGTTTGTCGACTTAATCCTGAAACACCCTGTATAAGAAACGAAAACCTTTACATATGGGTAACACATACTCAACTACTCATAAAATTGTTTTTTAAGCTAAATAATTAAAACTTTAAAGTGATAGAAAAATATTTTGCAATAACTTTTAATAAGTGCAGTATTCATTTCTAATGTTCTAATACTATTACTTCTTGGACATGCAGTCAGTATCCTATTATCTATAACTAAAATTTTTCTTACATAAATAAATTTAGTATTAACATAATCTTAATTACGTATATCAATAACAATGTATGAAAAACATAATATTTAGCCTTGACCCGAGATCTAGAATCTACAGACTGTGTGTGTGTGTGTGTAGATGATGGCACAGTCCGTTCTCTACTAGCATTTTTATCACAAGCAAAACCTCTATTGGCCTATCCATGTTACAGACCATCATTATAAACTAAATAGCATTTTAGCAGAAGTTAAATAATGAATAATTGGATCCGTCATTTTAATATTTCGATGCTAAAGTAGAGTTCAGAGAACTCGAATACCCCCACGCCGGTACTTTAAATTGATTCAAAATATTCGCTGCGGCAAAGTGGGTTATGGTTGTAATATGCGCCATTTTGGAATTTTTATTCCTAATGGTAGATTCTTAAACACTATTATACGCACTTTAGATGCCAATCACGTATACAGGGTCGGAAAGTCCCCATGGTTCATCGGCCGTTACGTGAGAGCGATAAAGAAAGTCATAGAAATCCGTGCGATAGAGAAAGAGCTCTTCCACAAATAAGATCCACTTCTTATTTGTGGAAGGGCGAAATGGGCGGTTACTATTAGACGTCTTCATTATAGCCATCTTTCTCTATCGCACGGACTTCTATGACTTTCTTTATCGCTCTCACGTAACGGCCGATGAACCATGGGGACTTTCCGACCCTGTATAAGGTGATACGGAAATTCTTAAATGCAAAATGGTGAAAAGTACAATAGAAATTGGTATTTACCACCCAAAGAAATGCGTTATGAATGTTTAAAAAGTTCTGTAAAAATAGACAAATATTTAAAAATGAGAAACAAAGAATATGACTTTATTATATTTTTATTATTATTATTATTATAAAGCTGTATCAAATTCTCGTGCACATTCCCTTTTAATTGTGTAAATCAGGCACACCTTATTCCATCCAAAATATTTATATTTTATTTTTAAAGGGTACAGGAATATTAAAAAATAGTTTTTTCCTATAAGGGCTCCATATTCCGATTCAATTTTTTACTGCCATATAGGATAAGGCTAAATTTTTGTCTGTGGACCACGACTTATTTGACAATGAATAGACACGAGTACTATACACCTATACAGGGTGTTAATTAAGTATCTAAAATAAATTCAACATTCATTAATTGAGTGATTTTAAGACAAAAAGTTCATATAAACGTTGGTCCGCAGATGCTTCGCTTTCAAGATACAAATGAAATAATTATTTTTGGTTTATTACGCTTCATACAAATTTCTCATGATGAATTTACAGTAAGTAGTACAAATTTTATAGCGACTTTTTCTCCCTCTTATATGGTAGTGCCAACAACGGCCAATAGTAGCAGCTAGACGCTTAAGTGTACATCTCCAGTATACTGCATTTAATCTGAGTCTACTGGCAAATTGAATGCACAAATTTCAGTAAACAAAATTAATATTTACATCAATATTTAAATATTTTATTATGTTTAAAACATTACCTTTTTTAAATAATTATTACATAAAAATTTCATAAACTATCCACTATTGTCTATGATCAATCATGTGTTCTTAATAATATAGTTTTATGCATGTCTCACCTTGCCTATATCTAGGCTATAATAATAAGCTTCAGTTTGTGCGAATATATATAAGGGAATACGAGCTGATGAATCCATTTATCTTTTAAATCTTAATTAACGTTGATTAAATATGAGAACCTTTGTTGTAATAATCTCGATTTCCGCACTGGTAAGTCAAAAATTTGTTATTCTGTGTACCTATATGGAGGAACAAGAGCAATTTATTATTTCATCATGTAAAATTAATAATTTTTTTTTTGTTATTTCTATGAAATATATACGGAAAATTCACTTCATTTTGTAACAATAAACTTACTTCAGCAGTAAACTATTAACTATCATATAAATATTTATTATTATTTATTAGTTATTATTCGTATATGTATAGGTACAGTGTAGAACAATCAAATGGAATAAATTTAGTATCTCAGCTGTTGTGCATTTTTATAAAAAAAAAAAATCCGAGACGTCTGTTTCGATTCTGAAATAACATTCTGCTTGATTAAATTAGTTACAACGACAAAACATAACTTATAGCGATTTCTTTTGCAGGCTATTAAAAACAATTTCAATGTTCCTTTTCAACATCATCAACTAAAAAGAAGACATCAAATTCTTCATAGCTGACATCAATAATTAGTTGTCAGTGTTTTGCTCATTGTTTGAGTTTCGGTAACTAATTAATTCCTAAAAATGGTTTATTTAACATAAATACATAAAATATGAATTATACAAACTGTTGGTTACAAAGATAGAATGCGATCACAGGCCAAAGTTGCTCGTCCATTTCAAGAAAAATTTCCTGATTTGCCGCCTATATCCCAAAGTACAATTAGTAAAATTGAAAAGCCGTTTCGCGAAAATGGACATGTACGGCAGATAAAAAAAGAAGCTTCCAATGCAGTGAGTAACGGTACTGCTTGAGTTTGAATAAAACCAACAATGTTCAAGTCGACAAACAGCTTCAGTATTGAATGTTTCCCATTTCTCGGTTATTCGTATATTAAAAGAAAATAAAATGTATCCCTATAAATCTGAACTCAGGAGCTTAATGAGGACGATTTTGATAGAAGAACATATATTTATGAACAAGTGATGCAAAGGTTAGATAATGTTATTCAACTAGAAAATGTTTTGTTTTCTGATGAGTCCATTTTTACTCTTCACGACCATATTATTCGTCATATCTGTCGCTAAAGGGCTAATGCCAATCCCCATTGGATGAGAGAATTACATACCTACGCAAAATCCTAATGTTTGGAAGGGGATAATTCGAGTCCATGTCATTGGTCGCTTTTTTATTAATGGCAATTTGAATGGAATTGTTTACTTCTGTTCCAAAATAATGTCGTGCCAACATTGGCAAACGTTTATCCTGCTCAAGCAAACCTACAAGTTCCAGTCGATATGATATGGTTCCAACAGGATAGAGCATTAGGTACCACATTACCGTATCAATGTCCGACAATATCTCGACTTAACATTTCTAAATTAGTGGATATGGATGCAAGGATCGCTAGAATGGCTAACACGTTCTCCTGATCTTACACCCTTAGATTTCTTTCTATGTGAAGAGTATGACACACAAAACTAAACCACGCGATATAGCGGACTCACGTCTCAGATGTTGGAAAACGTTAGAAGATATTTACGATTTATTTACGATTAGGACGTTCAAAGAACTCATTTTAAACATTTGATGTAGCAAATTTCATCAATCAAGCAGATGAATTTATTTTTTTCACTGCTAATTTTTGCAATAAATATAAATCATAACATTTTTATAGAAAGAATGAAAGTATACCTTTCAAATGAGGGATCACAAGTTCCTACGTTTCATTTAAAAGTTTAAGGGTTGAATTTAGGGATGAAATCTGTACGTTGTGAGATGTTGTTTCAGAATCCGAAATCGAGGTGTTTCGGGATTTTTTTATAAACATGCACAGTAATTGAGATACTAAATTTTGGCTGTTCCACTCTGTATATGTTTATTACATTAATTTACATTAATCATACAATTATATACTAAATAATAGGTACTTGGACGGCCGGATGAAAACCTAGCTACCATTAATATGGCCCATAATGAATGCCAATCCAACCCCAAAACCTATGTCGATGAGGATATTTTAGATAGAATCAGTGGTGGAGAAAAAATTGATAATCCCTCGGTTAGAGCTCACATTCTATGCGTAACCACAAAACTTGGTGTTCTTAACGAAGATGGTGAAGTGAATAGAACCAACCTAAGGACGGTGCTTTCCCGCGTGATTCTGAATGAAGAGAAGCTTGAAGAAAATTTGGAAAAATGTGCCGTAGAAGAGACTGACGCTGAAGAAGTAGCTTTGGTCTTAGACAAGTGTTTTTGGAATAACTTGGACCACGATCATAATTCGCACATACACTACCACCACCAAAAAACTTAATAAAAATTGACTAACAAATATTGGCATTGCTATATATTAGAGATTTAAAACATTGGTTATATATGTATACGGTTATTTTTCTTTAATTATGTACAAATACATTGAACCTTTACTTTTCAAGATAATCAACAACAGATTTTTTTTATTTATAGGGCGTATAATTTTTAAGATGACAAGTTTTTTATATTCAAAAATTCAATATAACCTTTTAGTGATTTTTTTTATTTAAATTTTGTCACTGCAGCTTTAATCAGGATCGTTGATATTTGAGCAAAAAAATATACAGGTTGTTTTACATGATTATTTTCCATCAATTTTCGTACTATTTTAAAATATAGAAAATAGGCGTAAATAGTGCCAAAAATATTACAAACTGACACTTACTGAAATTTTTTTTTCAGAACAATTGTCAATTATATTTAACCTTTATATTTATGTTAATAAACTTGTCAGAAATATAACTTACTAGTAAATTTTTTTCTGAATTATGTCATTCTTGATAAGACTTGAAGAGCTCAAATTAATAGTAAATAGTATTTCGCAAAAATCGTGGCAAAAAGTTATAATATTACATTGGAATCAAAAGAAAGTTTCGTAACAGATCTAATAAAAATAATTGCAGGTTGCTCAAACGGATGCAAAAAATTTAGAGCTTGATAAGACGTAAAAAATTAGAGAAGTTTTTCCTATGGACTTATGTTTTTGAGACACAGGGAACCAAACAAGATTTTTTATTTAGAATCAAATTTTAGCCATGTCTTCTTTAAAAAGATCATACAACATTATACTATTTTTTAGGTTAGGTTTTTTAAGGGACGTGTCTTTTATCACAATGTAAAATTGTATTATACAAAGAAACTTTTGTTAAAACCATCGTGTTTATGGGAAACACATAGCTTACTGCTTCAAAGTCAACCACTTCATTCATCATGGTTTTCACGGTTCCTGCTGATGCTTAAGATAAAGTTGGATCGTGTTACATCGTGGCCTATGTACCTGGGTCGCTGCTAGTTATAGATTGCATCTCCTTAGTCCTGCCTTTGTTGTTCTCGGTCTAAGTTCCGTGAGGACGGACCCAAACAAAAAAATGTCTATCTTACATTCATAATGTAACAGAACGCAATCCCAAATTATTACAGGAAACCTTTTCTCTGTAGTAGGTCTAAGGTGAACTTTGTGATATGATGTCATCGGATTCGTGACATGGTCACAAGTGGTCTCAGTCACAGCGAAACGTTTGCAATGTTGCTACTGAAGATACAGACACTGAAAAACGACGAAATAATAATAATAATAATAATAATATCTCTACTCCTCATTCTAATTACGAGAATTAGCCCAGAAGTCGGAGACTTGTTTAGAAACATTGGAGGTGATCAGTTACAGAGGCCATTATGAAACGTCTTAAAGTAGGTTACGTTCGTAGGAACTTTGGAACCAACATTAAGAACCAAAATCAACATAAGGGTAGGTCTAGAGGTTTTAATAGCGGATCCGCCCCCGCAGAGCTTAGCCCAAGAACAATAAAGACAAGTTATAGATATCCTAGTAAAGGCTAAGAAAATACAATCTACGTCTGTAACTGGCGGCACCAGGTACAAAGGTCACGGCATAAATACCCGATAAATCATAGTACTTTATACAAACAACTTCCGTTCCTTAAAACAAAAGGTTATCCCGAACCATAAGTACAATGGCTTTACGGAATCAAATAATTTTTGTCAATATTGTATACAGACATCGAAAATTATTTTGTTTTCATGGTAACCTTGCCAAAATTAGTAACATTCTTGATTTTATATCGTTTGAGCGAGAGTATCGAAAAACGTTTGCAATAAAAGTTGTTGAGAAAAATGAGAAAATATGAGGTAAGAGAATACTTATGTCATCATGTTATAAAGATTTTTATTTGCGTTTTTTTATTTGCTCTTTCCATTTTCTTGAAATGTTGGCCGCCATCCGTTCTGGGTCATCCTGGCTTTTGTTTTAAAATACCATTTCCTAGTTAATAATTTTTAGCAGAAAAAATATCGCATGCAGCTCATATGTTTAAACACATTGTTCTTATTGGAAATTCTAATATAAAACAATGTTGTATGAGTAGACTTACTATTATTAAATACAACTCAGCATGCCGCTAGAAGAACTGATGGTTGCATAATGAAAGATGTGGAAAAATATACACTGTATGGAATATAGAGGATATTTCCGTTTTATAGACAATCGCACTTTTAGTAAGCCAATGATAGAACAGGTAAATTAATCTAAACTATAAGGGTTATTTTTTACACAGACGCCAAGACGCTGAAACGAAATCCTCTTTGTATGCTTGTGTAACGATGGTTGCAGCTACAAACTGACCAACTTTCCTGCTTCGTAGCTTCTGTTGACATACAGGCGGTCAGTTTGAATAATCGTGCGATAATTCTATTTATTTGTTGTTACAATTAATTAATAAATATGTTCGAAGTTATAGGAAATGACTTTGAGGTTAAAATATATTAATAGCGTTCGGTATTTGCATCTAGATGTTCTGGACATGTTTTGTCCTTTTGTAATTGCAACAGATGAAAAGACGAAGAGACACATTTAGAGCATCTAGGTTAATACTGAACGCTACTATTATATTATTTGTAGGATGGTTTTACTAATCATTTTATCCATAAATAATGTTTATATTGTTCATTATTTACGAGTTATATCAACTGCACGAAAACTATCTGAACAAATATACAGTGCCAATACACACAGTACAGACGATACACATCTTCATGAAAATTCAGGAAAGAAAAGGATACGAAAGAATGTATACAGGAACTCTTTTCAGCGTCCCTACATCTACATAAAAATACTCCTTAAAAATGTTGAAATACAAGGATTTTTTAATTTATCGCCTCGTTTTTCGCAGTGAAAGATCGCGGAGAACATGTAAACATCAGAAAATGTACGTTTCCTGTTTTGTCGAAGTAATTTGTAAAGATACGCAATAATTGTGATTAATGCGTGTATTAATAGTTGCCTAAAAGCATTCTGCGAGGTGTGATTATGGTTATAGTAGTACCGTACACGATTTTCTGTATGTTCAACAGGCGTGCAAAATTCTGAAAAAGTAAGATAAACATACGGTAAAAATATGATTTTATTTTCTTATTTTGAATATATGTATTATATTATAGTTGCCCTATACCCTGAAGAAAGCTTATGTAGTTGGTACAGTGAAGAGATATTATTTCTACCTTACTTACATTTTCTAAAATGCTGGAGAAAAAATTGCGTATATAAACGCTCCCCTTACTTTTTTAAGCACAATTGTCATTGAATTTATAGCAATCTTTTAACGAGGGTTTTAGAAGATCTAAAAAGTTAGAAACAATATCTCTTCACTATACCAATTACACAAGTTTTCTTCAGGATATAAGACAGTTTAAAAGCTAAAAATGCATTTAGAATAAAGGAAAAAATATATTTTTTTACTTCTTATATATGTATATCATTACATTTTCTGATCTTTTCATTCCTGTTGAATATCGCGTAAGTACTACAAACATATAAGTTCTATTCATATCTATTGTAGAAATAAAAAACTATTTTATATTGTCGATAACGACAAAAACGGGCTCGTAAATACTTGTCTGCTTAGCAGAACAGGGTCGTATTTAAGAAAAGTTTACAGAATATAATATTTAAGTCTTCCTTCAAACAATTAACAACAGATACTACTACATAATGGCTGCAAATTGAAAACAATTGCAGTGAATTATAAAAGTTATCCAATAAAAAACTTGTAATAATACAAAAATCACTACTCAAAACACTACTCTAAGAAATAAGAATGACATCATTGTTGTAGCACCAACTCCTGCCCTGTACCGCGCAAAATGAACTATCAGAAATTTAAAGTAATAAGTTCACCGTATCTAATTGTTGATTATCTCTATCTCACATTAGGAATTTGAGAACAACGTACGTCTTAGAGAGATGTTCACAATTTGTTTTGTTGCTAGCCTAGCTGTGTTGCCAAATGTTTTGGCGAGTTAGTATTGTACTAAAAATGAACAACATAACATTTCAAGAATGAAGTGAATAATGCAATTTAATAAATAAATGTATGCAAATTCAGCCTATTTTTATATTTTCAGAACATAACTTAATATTTTAAACGTAAATATCTGAATAAATTAATTTCATTCAGTTTATCAATTATTCGTTTAAAGAATATTTTTACATATCGGCAACACAGGGCCCACGTCCGGCGATTCAAGATCCCGCCCACCTAGGGTAAAGCGGAGCAACCTTTAAATTGAATACCTGACAAAATATGTAATTATTGATTAATATCACTTTATTTCTCATTAATTTTGTTTTCAATTTATCTAGATGAGTGTACCTGATAAGAGCATTATGATTTGTGAAATAAATTAGCTGTTACAACATTTATTTTCTACGGACATTTAAAAATTGTCTTGCCCCACTGTCCCCCTATCACACTTACCGGCAGGCTTTGACATTTTTTATGTCTACTATAAGTATGAAATGAACTATAATCACACCCCGCAGAACGCTTTTATGTAACTATTAACACATGAATTAATTATAATTATTGACTATTTTTTACAAAATCCACGACAAAACAGGAAAGGCACATTCTGATGGGTGCCATGGGTGCCCATGGTTTCCATGGTTTTTCACTGCCAAAAATTAAAGAAATCCATGAATCTCAACATTTTTATAGTTTAGATGGATTTTCTGGTTCCATCATTGTCTTACTAAAACTACGATTTATTGTCTATAAAATATATAAAAAGCCAGTACGATAATAAAAGGGATGACATTTTTAAATTATTTTGAGGGGAAAGTTCTTAAACAGCTTGGTTTTCGAAATACAGTACAGCAGTAGTAGAAAAATATTAATGACTCAAGACAACTTTAACATCCTGCATATTAAACCATTTGTATAAGATGAGGTATCTACGCAAATTCTCGAAAAATATTTGACGCAATGTATTTTTGCTAACTAAATAAAGGTAAAAACTGAGTGAATACTATCAACCAGCGACATCTGTCGACATAGGGACCCCAAAATTTGGACGCATCTTCGTTTTTGGTTATTTTAGAGTAGATTGAGTCATTTTCTAGTTATTATTT